GAGGAACTTAAATGAATGGTTTTAACAGCAGTAAACATGTATTAGGTATTTAGTTAGTTATTGCCATATTTTATATTTATCTTTTCCATTTTTTTTATAATGGAAATACACTATAAGATAACAATATTTAAATGTTAATCCTCAAGAAATGTATTTATATTATATTCTAAAAAAAAAAGAAATATAATTGAAGTTAAATTTTAATATATGAATATGATAATAGAAAGTCATATTTTACAAAAAAATTTTATCATATATTTCATATTATTTTCTGATCTGCCTCAAAAATCGACATTTTCTCGCTGCCTCATAATCAAAATGTCCACTTGGTCTCATGATTAGTCCGATTCTGAAGAGCAATCTTGGTATATTCCTCTACCTCCATAAAATCCTTGATTATATTATGACTCAAGCTTCTTAAATGTGATTCATCTCTATTTTTGGATCTGAAGGGGGGGGGGGAAATATAATTTGTTCTACAGCCCCCCCCACCCCCACTTACTATGCGCCTGCTTTTAGGACTTCAATTTCAAAATCTTGAAAAAATTCCTTAAATATTTGATCCCTGGCAAACAAAAAATTTTGTGATGCTCTTTACTGACAGTATTTGTCATCTGTATGCTAATTTTTTTGCTTAATTAATCTTTAATTCGCTTTTAAATGTGTAATTACAATGATAACACCATCTTTCATTTATAATATTGTAATTTTGGAACATCTTTATTCTGAATGTAATTTTGCTTAAGTAATAATTTATGTTTTTCCTTTTTAAAATTGTTTCCTTTGATGGACTTCTTTAAATTTCATTTCAATACATATATTATAAATTAAAATTATATTTTGAAAAAATATCCTCCAAATTTATAATTGTTTAATTTATTCTACTGACAGCCTCGGACTTGCAATTAATCAAATCAAAACTGAGTACTGCGATATTAATACAATACCCCAAAACGTTTTTGGGTTTAAGCAGTTCCCCTTGAAAAATCTATCGCATTTGGGCTCTCCCATTGGTGATGAGTCAGTGAATTCTTTTTTTAGCGATATGGACGATATCTTTGAAAATTTAAAACCCATTCTTCCTTGTCTTTCAACTCACAAGGCCTTTTTTAATTCGAAATTTCTTCAACATCCCTAAAATCCTTAATGCCCTACGATCGAGCCGATTATTTTTAGATAGGGAACATTTAGTGAGATTCGAAACCAAAATAAAAGTCATCTTTAGCGACTGCTTATATATCTTGGCATCAAGCCACACTTCTTTCCAAACATAGCGGCCTTGGTATAAGATCCCCATTGTCGATCTCAATATGTGCATTCGTTGCTAGTCACCTTCAGGCACATATATTAATTGACCAACATCTGTCGGTTCACGATCCTTTTTTGAATACAGCTATAAGCCCTATTTCAGATCTCTGTAAAGCAGAAGGATTGGAATTAACCACTTGTGAAAAACTCCGTTTAATACCTTATTTCGAGTATCTCACCATTGGCTAGATCAACATTTATTGAACTTATCAAAGATCAAGGATATGAATTTTTAGACGATATTCCATCTACCAATCTCAAACTCGAATTGGACAACAATGAGCTCAGCTATGCTCTATGTATCAGGCTCAACATTACCTTTTCATTACCATATTAATGCAGCAAATGTCATACGGATGATAACAATATGGCGCTGCATCCTTTACATTGCAATTATAATCCCGGTCGGCAAACTCGACACTTGAAATGCAATCAAATCATATCTCTTGCACTTAGGTCAGCTGGTTTTCCTACCACAATGGAGTCTTCATTTTCCGATAGTAGGCGTCCTGATGGGGTCACAAGTATCCCATGGTCTCAAGAAAAGTTTCTAACATGGGATTTCTCTTGTCTGGACACTAATTCCCCCTCTAATTTTAACAAGGACGCTCTGAACAGAGCTCAAAATTGTAAAATCGGAATACAGCGCTGATTCCTCAAATTAAATATTCATACCCATCATTTGCTTAAGCCTAACTACATATGGTGATTTGGCTAAAAACATTTTTAAAGACCTTGGCCGCCTAATCAGAAAAAATTATGGGGGGCCTCGCGAAGTTTTTCACTTAAGGCAGAGGATCGCAATAGCCATTCTTAAGGCTAATTAGGTTTGTTTATTAATTCGATCTCTCCTGATGATTAGGTGAAGGAGGTTTTGAATAATTTTGCTGCTTTCGCTTTAATTTATTTTGTATTTTACATTATTTTATGATTTATGCCTCAATATTGTCCTTTTGTTATTATGATTTTTTTCTTTCATAATCATTTACTAATATTTCTATAACATAGCTTATTAATATAAATACCCAAGATAATAAAAAATAAATAAAAAAATATAATATTCTTTATACTGCCAGTCATTCCCTGGAGAAATATCTGCTCTAAAAACGCGCGATTTTGATATTTAAAAATTTTTAGAAATTTTATGTTATGGCTAATTTAACTAGTTCAATATTTAAATTGCAAGGACTTATTCATGATCTAAAGAAGTTATCTACATCTGGGGCTAATTTTAAACATAAATTATGGAAAGACTTTTTAAAGTAATATAAAAATATCAGATAAATTTTTATGTTCTTTTTAAAGTTTTATTCAAAAAAACATTAATCTTGACCTCATTAAAGCAGAAATGCAGTATTGTGGAGATACAATTATTATTACTGGTATAAAATGTCTTAATGACACATCAACTTCAATGCAATGTAGAGAAAACATACTTGACACTTTTATTTTAATATTTAATAACATATCATATGGTATATTGAATTATTATGACTATATATCAGAATTGCTTATAGATTTAGAAGCATCTAAAAATCTTGTCATATACATTGCATCTTATTTTGAAGCTCAAAATTATGAATTTGAATATTTGATCAAAATTTTATATATATTACAATTGCCAAATTTTTCATTGGTTAATAAATAATTAATCTTCAAACTAAATGAATTATTAAATTGTAGAAACATTCAACCTCCCATATAAATGTTATAATCAATGCATTCCAAACTATCTTGATTAAGTCAAAAAATATGAAATCTAGTGATAACACTGATATAAGTTTGAATATAATAAACATTTTGGAAAAGTAAAATATTATTTTTAAAAATTTTATTTATCACATAACAAATAAAAATTAATGAATAATTTAATAAAATTATTTTGAATATACTATAGAATTATCAATCAATTAACTAATGATATGTCTAATGATTACCACAAATGGTTGAGAATATTATATGGGATGCTGTTTCATCGAGAATCTACCATAAGACAGTGTAGTCTATCAGCCCTAGAATCCAACATGCCAGTCATCATTTTACTGATAAAGAATGCTGATAATGACAATAATATAGATCATGAAAATTTACCATCATCCAAACTAACAAAAAAATTGGTTGTGATCAATGATATTAAATTAGTAAAATAAAATAATATATATTAATTTTTAATAGGTGTCCCTTTAAAGGGACCTGGAACAAAGGCATTTTTTATGTTTATTTTTCATTCCCATTTTCACCAAATAAAAATGTTTCATTCCATGTTTTAGAATCTTCCAGAACATATTCCTTGAAAAAAAAATATAATTTTATTTGTTACAACTTATCTAAATTTAAACAATATTTCTCCATTGGTTTGAAATATTTAATATATGTAATAAGCAGTTTTAAAAAAAAATACTCTAATGGATACCGATATATCATTTTAAAATTAATGTTAGATATGGATATATCTATAAAAACATATACTATACACTATTACAAATGTATATCTTTAGACGTCAGGGGTTTGCCATTGTTTTAAACAGAACCTTTATTATAAGAGCATTATAATTGGGTGTTTAAGCCTAGAAAAATCAGCTAGCTAAAAATTTAACCGTAAACTACAATGTTGATCTCGGGGTTTTTCTTAAAAATATAGTAGCTTAGATTTGAAAGAATCTATTATGAATAAAAATGCCTTAACGTTTATGGATTTTGTAGATTGAGCCGATATTTAGCCATTATCCAACTATAAAGAGCATAAAACAAATAAACCACATTTTTATCGATTATTTTCATTCAATTTGAACATCATATAAAAAAAATGTCAAAACCCATATTTTTATTGTTCTTTTACACAAATTCTCATTTTAAAATGAGTATTTATATATTAAAAAATTTTTTTACATTAAACTTATAATTTATTCATTAAAAGTCAGCAGACTATCTATAAAATTATTTTAAAATTTTCTGAATATATTTATTTGTTAATTTTTTTGTGCATCGTATTGTTTTTAATCATTAATGGGGGTTTCATGGTTAAGCAAAGATTTATATATTTTTTTTATATGAGAAAGACTATCCAATATTTGGTCATTGATCAGAGTTACTGAAAGATTAGTTGGGCCCAACTAACCCCATATTTGAGTTGCCCCACCTGATTTATAAAAATTTTAGGCAAAAAACTACATTTGCCTAATTATCAGCCTTAAAACTTTGACCCAGCTCAACCCTTAGGAATTTTTTGAACAATTTGCCCAATCCCAGTCTATACTGCATGTAAAAATCTCTATGAATATAAAATAGTGTAAGTGAGGGATTTAGGTCTATTTGTTATAATATTTTTTATGGTTAATCACCAATTTAAATGTTTATCTTGATCTTTGTAACCCATTGTTTTATGTTAATATATTTTTTTTTGTGTATTATAGTTTATCCTACAAAAACTGGATAATTACTTGGCACAGAGTCAAATACACTACATGTTATCTTGCTTAAATGTATTCATGAAAATATTGGACAAGGTGAAGAAAATATAGTTTCATTAATTTTATTTTAATATTTTTAATTTTTTTTAAAAAAAATTTATTTATGAAACAAAAAATAATGTCCAATATTTATTCGTTTCCTTAAATCTGAAGGAATTGGTTGCTAGTTTTACTGTGCTTCAAAAATTTCAGCATTTACTTAAACACTCCTTCTTAAATCTAATGGATCACGAAGCTCTAACACCCAAATTCTATGAATGCTGGATGACCTTCACTCAGATGATGAGTTATAATGAAGGTAATGAATTATACATATATGAGATGGATAATTGTTAACTTTTTATATGAATATCAGAAATGATGAATAAAGCTAAAATGGTGACCTACCTTTGCAAGCCATTTTCGTATACAAATTCCCCCAACGAAAATATCAGCGAATATCGGCCGACAAAAGTTTTAGCGCTGATTTTCCTCTGCGAAAGAATTGATCTAACAACTCTATTCCAAAAAGTTTTTTTTTTTTCATTTTACTATTAATTATTTTTTTTTTAAAAAGAAGGATATTATAAAAGAAAGGAAGAGATAAATAAAGAATGAAAGATTATATAAATGTGATTAAATATGTTTTAGGATGTGCTGTTACTAAAGTGAATCTTATTCATGCCGAAAATTTAAATTATACGCTAAAATTACATTTTAAACAAATTACAAATTCCCACATCATAATAAATTAAAAATTTATACTAAAAATTGTAAAATATACAATGACTTAACAAAAAATAATTTTACAAAATTCTAAAAACATATAATTAACGCGATTATCTCATAATAATTATGACTCAACCAGGACATCTCCCCCTTATCCCCCCTTTTTGGAAAATCCAATAGTTGTTTATACTCCTTCCCTCTCTTACCCATAACTCGGGCACATCATCGGATATTTCCTTGTGACCGCTTCTCGATTCTCTTTTTCTTTTCTACACAAGCGCCGTTCCTTGATGTTGATCATAGCACTCCCTGGGACGATCAGCGCTCCTTCGGACACCATCTTCTGATATGTCCAGCTTTCTCGCATCCATAGCACAGGTTCACATCCTCGGCCGAACTACTCTAATTAGCAAAGACATAGAGCCAGTTAGCGAATGGAAGGCCTTGGCCAAAAGGAAAACCCGAGGCGATAAAAGGACCAACTCACCAGAGATTCATGAGTTACAACAAGGGAAGAGTGGAGGAAGTCCGAGGATGTGAATCTATGCTATGGATAATACTGGACATGTCAGAAGATGGTGTCCGAAGGAATGCTATGATCAACCTTAAGGAACGGCACATGTAAAGAAAAGAAAAAAGGGAATCGAGAATCCGTCTCAAGGAAATATCCAATGGTGTGCCTGAGTTAAGGGTAGGAGAGGAGGAGTACAAGCAACTTTTGGATTCTCCTAAAGTGGGGAAAAGGGGGAGATGACTTAGTTATAGTCATAATTAATTTGAGATAATCGTGTTAATTATATTTTTAGAATTTTGTAAAATTATTTTTTGTTAAGTCATCGTATTTTACAATATTTTAATTATTTTTAGTATAAATTTTTGGCAATATGAAAATTGATTTTATTTTACTTCTTAGTACGTGTATTGTTGTTAAATGGCTAACCCAATATTTTAGTCAAAAAAAATAATATTACGTAATATTCAAGATTTCGGCTTAAATAGATGTCCAAACTTTTCTACCTTCTACATAAGACAATGGCATTATAATAATATCTAGACTGACCCTTGCATTCATTTGTATACACAATCAATGATAAACAGCTGGGGACGCCATTTTGATTACCCGTATCATTATTAAAAAATCATTTTAAAGGGCATTTATTTCCTATGTATGACGCGAGCTTTATTAAAGAATCGCCCGATCGTCGAAATTGATAAGAGGAGCAAGTTATCAATTTAATAGACGTTTATGACATGAGAATAATTTACTATACGTACAGGTTACCAAAATGGCGGGTCCAGCTGATTCGCGACGCCATCAAATGCGTTTATTATTGATGACGTCGATCAGTCTAGGTATCGTATTATCATATGTTATTGATCCAAGATCCCAAAGATTGCGACATAGTTTTGGCGCTAAATGGGTTAGCCGTTTAACAACGCTAACTACGTGAGTGGCGGGAGGGGGTGGGTGCTGGCGGTATGACGTCATTCTCCGTAAATATAATTGCCCATTTTTTCCTTCTTCTTCGATAACGAGAGAAACAAATCATCGTTAATTATTTTTTTTTTCAAAATTTTCTGGTTCTCGTTCTTAGAAAATCTCTCTCTCTTAAAAAATAGGAAAACAAAAAAAAATTTAGAAATTTTGCTTTATTTCTTAGATCTTTCTAGAAAAATTTTTAAAAGCTTAAATATTAAAAATTAACGTTTTTTAAGATGCTATTAGAAGTGTGAGTGAACACTAGTATTTTAAATTAAGTTTTAATTCATATAAATCGCTTTAAAAAAAATGTATGGGAAAAATATCATTTCAAATATTCCCGGATAGTTGTTCCCGTCTGGGAACAACGATGAATATTTCCTCCGTTTTTAGCCAAAATGCAAAAGTTTTTAATTCCTTCAAGTTTTTTTGTAAAAGAAAATAAAAATTTTATAAGTGAATTCTCGATGTTTTTATGGCATCAAAAATCTTTTAAAATCCAAAATTTTTTGCCCCCCCCCCCCAAAAAAAAAAATTTTTTTTGGGGATTTATAATGTGTTAGCATCAATTTAAATCATTTTTTTTGAGCGATTTTTTCTTTTTAAAATTAAAAAAAATTTGGATATTAACCGGAAATGTAATTCCAGCACTGTTTAAAATTCCTATCTTTTGAAGTGTAGCTAATTTCCCCCCCCCCTTTCCTTTAACCTTCGCTTCATTTATAATTTATATTAAATTCAAAAGTTTCGTGGGCGAACTATGATTCTTTCTTTCTTTTTCTTTCTTTCTTCTTTCTTTCTTTCTTTCTTTCTTTCTTTCTTTCTTTCTTTCTTTCTTTCTTTCTTTCTTTCTTTCTTTCTTTCTTTCTTTCTTTCTTTCTTTCTTTCTTTCTTTCTTTCTTTCTTTCTTTCTTTCTTTCTTTCTTTCTTTCTTTCTTTCTTTCTTTCTTTCTTTCTTAAAGAAAGAAATGTGTAATTCAAACATAGAATACTTTTTTCTTATTGGATAAAATCAAATTTTTTTAAAAAAAATTAATTAAAAAGGCGCTCAAAATAAATGATCTAAAGTTGATAAAATAACACATTTTCACGTATCGCACCTGAACTAGCGGAATACTTATATATATTTTTTTTTTTAAAAAAAACGAAAATTCTCACCCTATTACATTGCTTTTAAACCATAACTTTGATTTAATTTGTTATTTTTTATTTTTAGTTAAAATGTAAGGCCTGCAAATTATTTAAAGGAAATCCCACATATTAGGTAAGGAAACGCTTTCCCATCGGTGTAAAAGGAAAGACGGCAAATTAATGCCTTGAAATGATAACTAAGTTAATCATCTCCTTCTCTCCTTTTAATAGCGATTTCCGGACTGGCCAGTTTATCCCTCATGATTTAATTAATTTTTATGAATGTTTATATATAATAAAAAAATATTTTTTTTTATAGCTGGACACCCTTTGGGACAAGGAAAACATTTACAATTTCGCCAACGACAACGTGCTGAATAGCTTGGAAGAATTTTTGAACTGTAGCACAAAATCCAGAGATTTTTCTACCATAATCCGATTGGGCGAGGCTGTAACCCGATGGCTCAACGACAACATATCGACCTTCAATATTCATCAAGTACATCATTTATGCTTATGCATATGAGAAGTTGTTAAATCACACCTGACTTTTGGGCAAATGACTTACCCCCCCCCCCCCCCCCCCAGGTTCTGTCTCAACTTAAAGGACAGGAGAAGAATGAGACAAACTTTTTCTGGATAGAAATTTCCTAGTTGGCTGAAAACAGCTGACTTCGCAACAAGGGTTCTATGTCATTATTTGCCATATCCTGTTCATAGATTTATAATAATTTAAAAGGGTAATATTGTTACGTTAATTTGTGTTCAGAGACAAGAATGATTAAACCTATCCAATCTAGTTAAATTTTTTTTTATAAAATTGGTTAAATAAATGGGGACTACCAAATTGATTGGTCCATGTTGGTAAGGTCTAGGTTGGACTGTTTACTTTCACATTTTAAAAACAAAACAAACACAGAGTTCTGATTGCCTGACATACCTACCTAGGCATAATATTAAACTTAGTTTCATCTCCAAATCAGTTATCAAATTTAGAACAGTTACATTTCCCTAAAAACAAAATCATAACCTTTTAAGATAAATGCTATGTCGGACACGTTCTCCCGCAATTTCTTGAATTTTGCCAAGAACTCTCCGGAAGATTTTTACGCGAACGCCGACAAAATATTGAAAGCCCTTAGCCAATTTTGGAAAATTTGGTTAAAATACCCCGTTTTAAAGCTCCACAGCAAAATTTTGGCCGTTTGGAACGAGACCTTTGGCAAATGCCGATGCTTGACTTACCCCGATCACGATTTCAAGTTTATTACCTAAACCATTATTATACGTATAGAAAATAAAAATATACAGTCACTTCTGCACCCTTCTCCTCTACAAGCTAGTAACGATATTACTTACCTCTTAACAAATTTAATATTACTCCATAAAAAAAGTTAAATCGAAATTACTACTCACATCTCCCAAAATTCGCTTTACTTTAATTTACACCATTCCTAATTTATTCCCAATGACGATAACCACCTCACACTCCCTACCCCTTTCAATTTCAATGACCCATCTTCATCTCGAGTCATAACCCACCCACCTCTCAATCCCCATTGTAGAAGGAACTTTATATGACTAACTGTTTTGGTAGTGTTACGATTTTAACAACCCGATTAAGATTATGCAACACTCGAGATTTTGGCGGATAGAGTTCTAGAAATACTATTTTGGCTAAAATCCCTGGCTGTTTTTAACCAAAATCGATCAGTTTAGCAAACAACCAATCGGGTAGTTTTAAGATGAGGCTAGGGGGGTTAAGATTAAAAGGGTCTTCCGATATGGAGTAGAATTTGTATGATACGCGTAGATGGGGTTTAAATAAAACTACTCTAATCTTTTAATATAAAATTTAACTTATTGTTACCTCAAGAGTTGTGTAGAAATATAACTAATCTGACGGTTAATAATTATTTGGATTTATTACTAATAATCAAAAAATGTACAAATTTGAATGAATCTGCATAATAAGTGCACACAAATTGAAACGTATCAAATGCAGCGTATTTTCAAAACGTAAGTCAAATGCATTTCAAATACATTCGTTTGAATATGAAATTTTTTTAAACGTTTTTTTAAATTTTGATAGTGATAAATAGCATGGATACAAAACATCTTCTAAAAAAAGAAAAATGATTAATAACAATAAAATGATTCAATAATATTTTTTAGCTTATGGGAAATTATGATATTTCAAAAAGATTTGCTAATTAAATATGAGGGCAATTAGACGTTTCATATTGAAAAAAAATAAAAGTTAAGAGAAGAGAAGAGTTCTCTTTCTTTCTTTCTTTCTTTCTTTCTACATAACTGCGCGTTTACGATTATTTTTATATTTGCGTTTTGAAACGTTGCATTCTAACGTTTCAATCTATGCTCTCTTATAACATTTCAATGATCTTATTCAATTAGTGATCTGCATTGGGCCAATTCCGAGCCCAAAATAAAATTATTTGTTCAGGCCCGGCCCGAGTAGCCTGACCAAGCCCAACCCGAAATTATTTTTTTTGATAATTGGCCTGGCCTAAACCTCTTCTGCTGGGGTGGGGATTTGTAGATCTTTAGTGGCAAGATATAGATTTTACTACTTTTGATCTCTAAATTGTGTTTAGGAATCATATCTCTTAGAAGGGGCCCATTTTTCACTCCTTTCACACTTAAATCGCTCTTGGAGTCATTTATGTTTTTTTTAATATTTAAAGTGGATTCCTTGATAATTGTTTGACGTCGACTATAAGAACCCAGTTTTGCCATGGGGAGGGGTGTCTGGTATATCACTCATGATCGTCATTAAAATGGAGCGGAATAGGCAGTTTTTTTTAGACATTATGGTTTTGAATAGGTGGTAATTTAGTTTTCCATTTTTTGGCTAATTTTGATTTAGTACGGGGTAAATTTAGGCTTGGGAAAGGGGATGCTGAAATCCCTGACTTCACCCCAATCATTATAGACAGCAGGTAGATGCTAAAATAATTAAAGTTTATGAAATATTTATTTTCAACAAAAATTCAGAAATTTCCTGATGAAAGAGGCCTGTTTGCACATTAGCCTTCCGGTGGACAAACATGTAAGTCTTTAAAATTTAACGATTTATTGTAACCTAAATAAATCTTATTTTTATATAATAAATATAAACAAACCCCTTCCATTAACTCGGATATCAATTTTGTTTAATCTGTCATCGAATTTAATGTTGTTAAACTAACTACCTAATTTTTGTCAAAGTATTAAACATGGCCATATTTTTATCCAAAAATATTCGATTCAAATCTTCAAGTCGATACTCACAACTTAGAAGCTTAATTAGGCTATAAAGAGATGGTCAAAGTTAGTTAATTTATCAACACTACCCCCCCCCTCCCACTTCATTTTTTTTTGTGTTTGTAAATTTACTTATTATCTTGAAACACATTTATAAAATTACTATATTGAATCAGGAGAAAGAAAGATTAAAGAACTTTATAGAATCCATAATATAATATGATTCTCTGGAAAAAAAAAATCTTAAATACAGTGTTGTGCTTTTTTATAATTCTAATATGAAATTATTTTAACTCGTAAAAATCGATGAGAATTATATAAAATTTTCAGAGACCTGCAGAGGTACAGACTATTCGTGTCGGGCCCGGCCCGGTTTTAATTTTCACGCCCGACCTGGATTTATTTTTGATTTTTGTTGTAGTAGCTAATAATGGCTATGGTTTTAAAATATACGGACCGGCCCTAAGTAGTGTTGTAAAACGGCTCGTATTTGGTTAATTTTTTTTTAAACGGTTAACTAAATTCCTCATCCAGAGAAATACTGCGCAAGCCGGAAGATTTTGCTTATAGAAGAAACAAAGAGTCTAGACATCAAATTAGCGAAATCTCTTGAGGTTTAGGGCAATATTTTTCCGGAAAATTATTCAGTTATAGCCCCTTTTCAAAAATATGCTCAAGATGCGCCGTTTAACAACACTGGCCCTATGCCCGGCTTGGGCTGCTGGAAATAATTTTTATTCTTCAAACCAATTATTGTATACGGAAATGTTCGTAAAAGTAAATCTGCACAAGCACTGTAATTTATCCGGAAAAGATAAATCTCGTTTTTTAAAAAAAAATATTCTCTCTTCTCTCAGAAAATTAATTCTCCTTATAGAAAAAAAAAATTTTTTTTTTTGGGGGGGGGGGGTATTTATAATTTGAGACAAAGAAAAAATTAAAATTTTTCCTTAAAAATAGAAAAGAAAAAATTTAATTTAAACCAAAATTTTTGAATAGAATTTTAAATGGCAGGTTAACGTTAAATCTAATCCCAATGCCCATTTTTTTTTAAAAACCGTAAAATAATCCTAGATTAATATATGTATATAACGCTACATCTAATTTTACCTTATCCTGTCACGCCCGCCTTATTTCATAAAGAGTGATGGTATTGTATGAATTCGATATATCTATTTTTGTTAACCTTTATTTATTACCCCCACCCCCCCTCCCTTGTGTCATTGTGTGTAGATTTTGTTAGAGATGGCTTTTAATATAACCACCACCTTCTCTCACCCCCATATAACTCAAAAAGGATAATCCCCCCGATCCCTTCCACGTGACCTAGAACCCTAGAGTAATATTTATCAAAATCATTTTATTTAAGAAAAAAATCGAGTAAAATCATGTCAAACCTCGATCACCCTTACAAAACAAAAATATAGCTTTTTATGACATTTTATCTTTTGATTGACAGGTATCACTTGAAAATGGCTCGCCGGCAATGTCTCCACTGTCTGAACCAGAAAAAAGTTGTCAGGGAGAGGTCACCCCGCATGTCAATCTTCGCAAAAAAAATTCGATTATTTACGACGCCGATACCGAATCCAGCCCTATCGCCGCTTCCAGGGCCAAACATCGCACGCGACATTTCGCCGAAAAAAAGATCTCCGAAAACAGTTTTTCCGATAATCAGGACGCTTTAAGAACCCCCAAAAAATGGAAAGATTTGACGAATAAACCGTATATCAAAATTTTAAATGGAAACGAGACAAATGCTCAAAGTTTAGATGCCCTAATAATAACGAATAACCAACGAAACGTTCAATTAATCGAACACGTTTTACCTAAAAGCGCGAAATATATCCCTTATAACCGTAGTAGATTGTACCATCGAAATAACCCAACCTTCAAAGAGGGCTCTTTAAGGTTTTATTTTTTTTTTCTTCCCCCCCCCCCCCATATCAAATTATCGTGAGTTTTGTACTTTCCACTCTAAGAATCCGCTCCCATTTTACTCTCGCCAATCGGCGTCATTTTGTTTATTTAGCGATTCCAACGTTAAAAATGATGGAACGATCCCGGAAAAATTATTGATCCACAATTCCACGTTCTCGACTCACGCCACGACCACGCCCAAACACGGTATACTAAAGAATTTTGATCCTAATAACCGTCAAAGATTATACGCCACCGATTCGAAACTCTTCGAGTTAAAAGCCAGGCAAAGGCAGGACATGTGTAATGGTGCCAAAGATGATCCGAATCCTATCAAAGTCATTAAATCTCGTCTTTCAAAACCCTATTTATTATTTTTGTTCCCAGGAATTATTATATTTTTTTTTTACCTCATGTATGTATTTGAAATTTTTTTTTAAAATTACTTTTCTATCCTCGCCATCTTACCCGGTTTTTCGTAATTAATCTAATGAAATCTAAATAATAAATTCATTAAATTGGTTTCGTTTGAGAGGGTGATTTACTTAAATCCAATTTATAAAGGTTAGTATTTACCAAAATATAAACTCCCCATATATAACTTGGAAATTATTTATTTAAAAACCTACCAAAAAAATTTAAAAACCTACCAAATTATTTTAAAACTACTCTAAAATTAATTATTAACTGCCCAAAAAATTTTCCCGCTACCCATTTCGATGTAATTTTACTGCCGGTGATAATCTGTCTTCTTAATTTTTTTTAACGCACGAATTGTGTCTGGCCACGCCGGTTAAACCTTATTTCTTGGGTCAGGCCAGACCGGATTTTTTGGGGATCTATGAATATATTATACGGGTTCGTATGAAACAAATTTTTAAAAAATGATGAATTCATCAGTGAACGTAATGCCTCAGCCCATTTATCAGCTGATCGATTCCACTTTATATTCCAATTCACGATAATTGTCTAGGAATTATATTCATAAAGCCAATGACGATATTACTCTCGTTATAAAATTTTATCCCTTCCTGTCTCAACCCTACCCCCCCAATATTCAAATCAAAGTGATATCCCTCCCCCCTTTATGTTTCAATGATATTCATCATTGCCCCCCCCCCATCTCACGTGATAGACGTGTTCGGCCATATGAGGGTTAACTAATATAAAAAGCCGCCATCTTCTTAATAAATATGCCAAAAATATATATATTGAGGTAATTCGACAATATAATGAAATACAAAAAATCTAATAGAAGCGCATCAGATTTGCCCTGGGCGATGACAAAAGTGACAACGTCATTTTCCCGATGACTGGCACTTCGTCTGATAACAAGGTTTCCTTAATTGCAATGGAAAATGTTGCGCCACAAATTTTGCTAGAGGATGTAAAATATATCAAAAAGCGTTCAAGTTACATATTTTTTTTATTTAATATATTTATAAATTAATGTTCTGTTATAAGTCATCGTTCCTCTAATTAGCTTTTTGATGGTTGTTTAGGCGATGCATAAATTCGCGGTTGAATGATATTGTTCCACCAACGTCACGCTTAAATCGTGACGTCATAGTTTACATTTAGCTTATAACTTTATTATTCATATGACGGTTATTTAAAGTAATAACCGAATTTAAATAATGGCGAAAACCGGATGTTTAGTATTTACTATAGTTTTTGTTTTTGCACACGTCGTCATTATTTGTTTATTTTTTTTCGTAAACAACTTTTTAATCTTAAATTTCGCTACAAAAAATGATTAAATGACATATGATTCATCGCTAGAGCTTCCAATCTTTCGGCCAACTTCAAGGAGCCCATATTCATAACTCTATAATTCATTATATATTATTGTTAAGCGACGCGATAATGTCGCGTTATTTTTTAGCGTTTACTATAACAACCTGTCTACGTTTTTCGTATTTATGTATATAAAAACAATTTCGGATAAATAAATATTTAAAAAGTATTCAGTTAAACTATATTTATAATTTATTTGAAAAAAACTTCCTTTATTTATTGTCTAGATCTTGGAAACAAGATGAATTTCCCGATATCTCCTGTCATCAAGATGACAGATGTCACTCCTGGCGTCGAAAGATTGGAAGAAAAATTGGACAAAGATTTGGTGAGCGAATTAGCTGTAATCGATGAAAAATTAGACGAAAGCTTGGTGGAAGAAGAAAGCGAAATAGCGGTAATCAACAAAGGATCGTCAAACGCTGCGACGGACGTGCTGGACTTGGATCTGCCAACGTTGCCTACCATTTCGAATGTTAGTTTTTCGAAAGATTGGCTTTTAAATTAGGCCACAAAATATATTTTAATAAAATACGAATCGCAAACTTTTGATACCTCGTGAAGTAAAACAAAATATGTTTTTTTTTTTAAATATAAAAATAAAATCTTTTCCAAAATATAATTTTAGAAAATTTCAAAATTTTAAAAGTTCTGAAAAATTACTTTCAGACCTATGGCTGTAGTAAGAATCCCTGGATTTAGTTTTTTGAAGGGCTTTTGCTAGCGCGCCAGATAAAAGGGATTAAATTGTGTTGGTAACTCTTAGCTGACTATAAGATTTCTGGGAATCGTTATTACATAAGTTATAAAAGGCTAACACTAACAAAGGGTTTTGTATTTAAAAATAGAAATAACGTCTTTATTTGTATTTGTTATAAACATTTCACCTTAATTTGATCGATAGGACCAAATCCTGTGACATATATCAATTTAAATCTAAATAATATATCATGATGACAGTTTTTTTTAAAGTTATCCTATTTATGAATATTGATGTTGATTGAACATTAATAGTAAAGGACGATTCTTTAAAATGCACGTATGTTGGGAGCCAGCTGGATACCATATGATTTGTTTGTTTGACTACATTTATATATTGAATAATAAATGTCATTTAGTCAAACCGTACAGACCACATGATAGGGTTTACGGCTAATTTATATTGTTTACACGTTTTTCAAAAATACCATGTGACGATTAAAGAATAATTTTGATCCAATCAGAGATTTCCCAACATGTCACGTGACATCGCTAACGATTCGAAGATCACCGAAATCGATAAAACCAAATCTAGTATTACTTTCGATAAACCGTACCAATTATTCAATCGAAAAGAAAAAATGGCGTCTACGATTTGTAGCGACGTTTCGAATAAGTTGAACAACGATACGGATTTGATGTCATCTTGTTCAATGGATGACAGCTACGAACTCCGAAAAGTGCCAGAAAAACATTTCTTTTTTTTCCAATTATTTTATTTTAATTTCTTATCTTTAATTTTTTTTCCCTATTTTTTCTCTTTTTTTTTAGTTCCTCTTAATTGTAACATTTTTATCAATGAATATTGAAGTTTTTGACTTTGGACGCACCCTTAAGAGTTAAAATATTTCTATTTTTTTGTGATTCATTCACTTAAAATAAAATTCCATTTTGTTTTGATAAAGAATACTATAACAGATGGTGAGAACTTAATCCTGCCCGACACCCAAATATCGGCCACTCAGGTCATCTATCCACCTTTGGTTCTTTGTCCGGATTCTGTTCAAATCATTCTACCACATCTATCCTTCACCGGATTGTATATAAAATAAGATTATATTTTTTTATAGAAAGTTGTTTTTATTTCTTTCTTAGATCCAAGAGTCTGGAGAAAGCTCTGACTACGAGAAATATCCTTACGGTGGGACAGTTTAGTTCTCTGACGGAATTGGATATTCATTACTTACCCATACCTTCGCCCAAATTGCTCAGATGCTTGAAAATATTGACCAAGTATAACAATTGAAAAAAAACATATTTCAAGATTCTCCCCTATAATGTTAATCAGGCTCAGAGTAGCCATCTTGATTAAAAACCCTACCTGAAGCCTCATCATGGTTCCCTGTGATCTGGGTCTAGAACAGGATCACCGTCTCATCGACGGGGCTGTAAAAACCACTTATAGGGTTCGATGTCAGGAAGGGCATCCCACTGTAAAAATACCTTGCTACTAAATTTCCTAAGGATTACGACACTATGTATGTTTGCAGAGACACTACATGACTAAGACTCTAAGAATGCTTATAAACCTTTGGCTTCACGATTTAAAGCTCCAGAGTTGTTAAAGGATCTAGATACAAGTATCTAGATATAAAAATGTGGTATCTGTAACTAGATAGATTTTTGATTAAAATGTATCTAGATATTCTTTTAGACGATGTATCTGTATCTAGATCCATTTAAAAAGTATCTTTTAACAACTCTGGAAAGCTCTAATCGCTCTTTTATTTATTAAAAAAAATTACATATAGTTTGGAGCAAAAAAAATTAAAAACTTTGACATCTTTCATGATATCAACTCACTCCATTTTAAGGATTTATGAGCCAATATTTAAATTTAGGAGTGTGAGGCAGATATTTGTTAAAGAATAAAGAACGTAAAGTGGAATGTCTTGAGTTACTATTGTTACGTTACTGTATCGATAACATATTATTTATCCGTGGGGTAAACTTTTTAGCGATTTTCCGGTCCAGAAATGAATTTCTAAAGGTTCTAATTAAATTAATAATTCATTCTTCTAGTTTATAAAATTTGTCGAAATATATCCAATAAGTATCTTTAAAAGTAACCGTAAAAATGTGTTTATTAAATTTTACTCGATAAATTTTACTTTATACACTGATTTGTAAATATCGATTTTTGAATTATTTTTTTAAAAAAAATCAAAATCTATTCAACTTACCAAAATATTTATTAAAATTAAATTAATCTACACAAATTATATCCGGTTTTTACCTCGAATCGAATACTCATGTTATTTTTTGTATACTTTTAAACGGTATTAATTGAGGTGACGTGTGTCAATTAATGAAACGTCATTCATCCTTTGTCTAAATTTTCTTCTTTTTTTTGTTGACTACTCTACGCACCCCCCCCCACTTCCGGTTTTAAACATGCAATACTACTATTTCCTATTTAATTTTTTTTTTTAAAAATATAAAATGAAATAAAATCTTTTCCCTCAAAGAAAAGGGGTAAAGAAGATGAAATACCAAAATTTTAAGTTTTGGAACCCCGCATATAACTCACAAACCACCCAAAACAAATCTTGATAAGATTTTCTAGGAATTAGAGGTCTGCAATCGGGCAGGTTTTTCTCCCACCCGACCCTAATTTGAATGGTTATAGTCGGCGTTTTTTCAACATTGGCCGCGTGGCCAGCGGATTGAAGGCGTTGGCGGGTAAATTTTTTGACAATTTTTCGGGCGAAATGAGCAGAACAAGACGTCAATTTATTTTAAAAAATATAATCGTTTATAAATAAAGAGCCAATACCGGCCATTAAAATTAATTTTTAAACATTTAATTTGGCGGGCTGGCGGGTAAATTTTTTTAAAACAAATTATAAGTTAGCCAAGTGGGCTTGTTTTTTTGGATAGGAAATCAGAATTCGGAATCGTGGAAACTATTTGGGTTTTTTTAAAATTTTTATTTTCTTCCAAAAGAATCCATTTAAATTTAAAATATTTTTTAAAATGGGAATCGGAATAAAAAAAAGTCGCCAAAAAAAACAATGACATATAATAATACCTAGACTTACGATTCATTCATTCGTTTAAAATGCATTTTTTAAGCGTCGGTTGAATGCGAATCAGCTGGATCCGCCATTTTGTTAACCCATATGGTAAATTAATTGATAACTTGCTTTCCTTGTTATCTCGTTGATCCGGTAAATCATCTTCCAATAAAGTTTGCATCGGATTGGTTGGAATAAATTAGGCTCTCGTTTGAAAATTTTTAATAATGATTTAGCTTAACCAAGATGGCGTCTCCAGCTGATTTTTTTTTTTTTTTTAGAAACTTTGAATCATTTTTTAAAGCGCCTTTTTTTTTAAAAGATCGGCTTTTCGCGGAAAAAAAAATATATTCTATCAATGTTAGGAATACATACCTATCTTACGAATTTTAGGCAATTCTAATGTTAACCTTTGAGTCCCTGCAGAGGTACCATTTGTACAAATTTTTCGGCCCAACCCGGGTTTTTATTTTTTATGAATAATAATGACGATTTCAAATATTCGGTTTCAAAATATCCGGCCCGGCCCGAATATTTTTTAAAAAGTTACAGGCCCGGCCCAGCCAGTGTTACCCAGAGCTCTCTGACCATATAAAAAATATATGGTAAAATCTAATATTAATTGTCCGTTAAATTCTTAAGGTAGGTTATTCCCGAACATGATGGAATATATTTCCGGTAAAAATCAGATTTTTTAAAAAAAATTCGGCATCCGACCCGAATCTTAACACGGTTTATAAAATTTCCAAAACCCGTAACCGAACCCGGGAATTTCTTTGAACTCGTATTCATACGGCTTCAGTGTATATTGTTTAAAAATCAATTTACTTCTTTATTTTCATAATATAATAAACCCAATTCAAAATTTTTAAGAATAAAATTTTTTTTTGTATATATTTTTATATTCAGATTCCAGGAAAAGAAATGCCAACGAAAGAACAGGGAAGATACGATGTGAAAAAATTTTTTATTATATTTTTATATATTTTATTTTATATATTAATTATACCTTAAAAACTTATTCTAACATTATAATATTTATTTTATTTTAATTATTTTTAATTAATTATAATATTTATTTTAATTATTATTAATTAATTAAAATATATTGATCGGGTATTGAAAATACTCAAATATTTATTTTAAAAAAAAATTATTTCAAATTGTTAAAATAAACGTAATTTATAAATTTTTAAATTCTTTTTTCAATCACTGAAAATTCTTTTATTATCTTTTTAAAAAAAAACTTATTCAACCAAAAAATAAAATATAATTTGGAATAACCAGAGTTGTTAAATGATACTTTTAAAATGGTTCTAGATACAGATATATATCGTCTAAAATAATATCTAGATACCGATATTTTAATCAAAAATCTATCTAGACACAGATACCACATTTTTATATCTAGATACAGGATATAGATACTTGTATTTAGATCCTTTAACAACTCTGGGAATATACATTCCAAAAAACTACTGAAGAATGCTATATTATGATAAGGTATTATCAAATCTAGCATGTTATTGGAGTGCTATAAACCCCACACTTGGGGTATTGAAGGGGTTAAAAGGCTTGAACCAGATTTCTATTTTCCAATTGCATTTATCTCGATTTTTTAAGTATTTGTTTTGTTTGTTTTTTTTAGGGGGAAAATACTTTACGTTACGCTCGTATTGAAAGTGGGCCCAAAATTATTGAGTTAACAAAAACTATTTAAAATGATATGCTTTTCCATGTTAATATAAATATAAATAATTTATATAAATTTAAATAAATTTTGATATAAATTTAAATAAGTTTTGATATAAATTTAATCAACAAATTTAAATTATTTATTAAGAAATTTTTTTTTAAAAGAAAGTTTTAAGTTAATCTTTTCTATAAAAAATTAAAAGACGCCCTCTCGCGGATAAATAATATATTTTTTACCGTAATTACATTTAAAAAAAGTGACCCCTTGAAGTTGTACGACATTTTGCCTTCTAAATTTTTTTTGCTATTCGGACATGTTCCTTCTTTTCCACCTTTAAGCAGTTGATTCCAACTGTGAGGGTTGTTCATGGGAAAAATAATTAAAGTCTTAATTAAGACTGGAAAAATTTTACAAAGAAAATACCCTCACACCAAAGTTTTAAGGCATAGGAATGAAATAATTAGTAAAATTGCACTTATATTGACATATCTATAATGCAGTATGAATTTCGAATGTGATTTACTTTAACGCTAACCTCTGTGAAAAATTAACTTGGGTTGGGAATAGCAAGTAAGATTCTGGTATAAATTATATAAATCAGGGAATCCAGCTTAGCAGACTCCCAAGAATGCTAAATATTTTTTCCTTCTTATATCAGTAATTATCGTTATAATACTTTGCACAATCTTTGGCCTTCTTTTTCTCCTTCCTTTCTTCAAAGTTATATCGATTTCTCTGAATCATCCTGCTCAATAACCTCATCCAAACTATTATCATCAAAAAAAAATAGGAGTGGATATGGGTTTAATCATACTCTATAAATTAACAAGATACCTATTCATCGTCATTAAGTAATATCTGCTGTAATATTCGAGGTTGTATTTACAATTTGCTAATATCTTTAATATCATGATTTTAAACAATATCCACTGAAGCCGTATGAATACGAGTTCAAAGAAATTCCCGAGTTCTGTTCCAAGTTTTGGAAATTTTTTTTAAACCGTGTTAAGATTCGGTTCGGATACCGAATTTTTTTATTAAAAAACCCGTGTTTTCTTTTCCCTGTTTGGGCCCGGTTCGAATCCCGGTATTTATATACTATGGTAAAAGTTTATTTTTAAAAATATATTTATTTCAAGATATCCTCCTTTGTTTTTACAAGTAAAAAGCCGCCGCCATATTTTTTAGGCGCATATATTGCCTTCATTTCATATCTTGGAATGGCCTTGTTCGTTCTTCTTTTATGAATGTCGACAAATATGGCAGATTTATAAAATGACAATATATGTATAAATACCATGTTAATTACTTTATTTATTATGAAAAAAATTATTTTAAATATTTACTAATATTATTTAATATATTATATATTTAATAATTAGATATTTGTATTCATTATTTTTTTTAGTGGAGTAATACATTACGGGAACATTTATTTATATTTTTAAATCGCTATTCAGGGTTTGGCTGGCTTCGTATCGAATTCAAAAAAAAAAAGAAGTTTTTATTTTTAAGATATTGTATACATTTTGATTTAATCAAAAGCTTTTAAAACGGGATGCTTTCCTGGTGGAAAGTGTTTGTCATATTTTAACAATTATTAATATATTTATTATATGAATGCACAAGGAATATAGGGATCCATATTTTTCAGAGTTATATATATATAGTGAAATTTGAAATGAAATTTAAATATAGTTCTTAGTTGCTCTTTTACTATTATTTCTAGATATTATGCTACAGTGATAGTGACAAGTCAGTTAAGTTTCTAAGGCAAGAAGATATTCGATTTAGCGATAAAAAGGGGCAACACGATAAAAATTCTTTGGAAGGAGAACTTTTACTAATTTTCGTAAGAATTCTTCTAGAAATTTAAAAAAAAAAAATTGATCACATTTACCAGAAGATCAAACTCTGAGGCTATCATTTGCGCAATGACATATAATAATGCCTAGAAGTGTACATCAATGAAAAACAGCTGGGACGCCATATTGGTAACCCGTAATCATTATATAAAAAAAATTTAACTAGAAGCCAATTTATTTCCTATGACTGACGTGAACATTTTTATAACAGTCAAGTTTCTAAGGCAAGAAGATATTCGATTTAGCAATAAAAAGGGACAACACGATAAAACTTCTTTAGAAGGAGAACTTTTACTAATTTTCGTAAGAATTCTTGGAAATTAAAAAAAAAAAAATTGATCACATTTACCAGAAGATCAAACTCTGAGGCTATCATTTGCGCAATGACATATAATAATGCCTAGAAGTGTACATCAATGAAAAACAGCTGGGACGCCATATTGGTAACCCGTAATCATTATATAAAAAAAATTTAACTAGAAGCCAATTTATTTCCTATGACTGACGTGAACATTTTTATAACAGTCAAGTTTCTAAGGCAAGAAGATATTCGATTTAGCAATAAAAAGGGACAACACGATAAAACTTCTTTAGAAGGAGAAATTTTACTAATTTTCGTAAGAATTCTTCGAAATTTAAAAAAAAAAAATTGATCACATTTACCAGAAGATCAAACTCTGAGGCTATCATTTGCGCAATGACATATAATAATGCCTAGAAGTGTACATCAATGAAAAACAGCTGGGACGCCATATTGGTAACCCATAATCATTATATAAAAAAAATTTAACTAGAAGCCAATTTATTTCCTATGACTGACGTGAACTTTTTTTAAAGAATTAATATGATCATCGAGAATGATAAGGAAACGAGTTATCAATTTAAATAGTAGTTATTTTTAAAACACGAGAATAATTACCATACGGGTTATAAAATGGCGGTTCCAGCTGATTCGCATTCAACGACGATTTCAAAATGCCATGTTATGAATGCCGTTGTCAGTCAAGGTATTATTTGTATGTCATTGCATTTACGATATCAATATTAATCTTAAAGTAACTGACCTATCAGATGATTAGTGAAGGTCAACGATCTGGTCCTATCGGTCTTAGACCGGGACTGGACCGATTGTCGGACCGGTCTTTTTAATTTTTACAGTCCAGACCGGTCATTTATTATTATTTAAGTTTGCTTTAATATTCAATTAATATAATTTTTGTATATTTTATTTATGATATTTTTCTAGATGAGTTATTTTAGATTTTGTTAATTTTTATTTTACAATATGAAAACAATAAGTTTGTTTAAGAAACATATTACTTATAGTCCCAATAAAAAACATGTGTATGTGTTCACTGCCCTACCAAATTTAATGTATCGTCAGCAACAAGTAACAAAATAATTGTTTATAATTTTTTAAGCAATAAATTAATCAAAATAAGCTGTATTATTATTAAAATATTTTGGTTATTATTTATATAGTTCTATTTTTTTTAAGAAACTGTCTGAATAATTCAATGTCAAAATAACATAACATTATTCTTAATAAAATAATTAGGTACCTTTAGAAGACATATGATAAAACATAAGATATATACTTCTAATGATGAAAATGAAAATATCTCAAAAACATAATCTACTCTTAATTTTAAAATGACCTCCACAAGCATAAAATCACTTTTCTAATTGATAAATTTTATTGTTTATATAATACTCTTATATTTAATAAAATGATAAAACAAATTAAATTAGGTTAAAAAAAATATGTTTTTTAAACAAGTAAAAAGACCGGACCGTGGACCTTCACTACAGGTGATTGTCTTTTAACCTTCTAATAACTTAAAACTACAAACGAGAAATTAATTATTATTTTTTCCTAAGTTTAATTTTATTTTTCAAACTATTTAATATTTTATTTAAAAATAATAAATAAAAAATAATTTTAAAAATTTTTATTAATTATTAGTTTTTTATTCAAAAATTTTGCGACTCGAATATAAAAATATAATGAGAAATATTGTATAAAAAAAATCCAAGGGAAAATAGAGCCTCAGCATTTGCGACAAAATAATGAAAAATAAGATGCTAGAAATGAGAATTGCGAAAATAAAGTTTGCGCAGGGTTTTCAAGTTTTCGTAAGAAGAGAATACGTAGGGCCTTTTCCCCCAATCATAATCGTCGTACTTGTAATAGGAATTCAATTCCTTGTAACCGACGGCTAATCTTTTGTCGGGTATAATTCCGGTCCAATAAGCGTCCTCGTTGTGGAAGGGCCGAGCGCAACACTCTACAGATGTTCGGTAAATGATACCCGCTAACCGGGGACTCATTATGTAGCCCCACCCGTAGCAAAATGGAGGGTACTTATCGGGTTCGTAATCTTCCTTAGAGACCGC